GCGACTGTGACGCGGTGCATGTATTAGCTGAGCAAAAGTCAACAACTGCTCTGTTCAGTGCACGCAGAAGTTTGTTGGTATAACTTTGTAGCATCCATTTGAACATAACTTTCATCGACGGCAAAGATGGGAAAGATTCCCACTGATGTTGTTCAATGACAGACTTTAAAACATATCATTCTGGCCCCAGAACTTTGTTCCTGTGCTTCTTTCTTGGGAGCTGGGTGGAGCTTTCCATCAGCTAATCAGGTACACCCGGCCAGTGTCCTGGTTATATAAGCCGGCCTGCTGAGCCAGAGCCCTCCCTCTCTCTCACACTCAGTCTGATCAGACCAAAAATTCAGCTTTCTGGTTGTTACACCAAACACTTAACACAAACCACACCATGCCCACTGTGAGGCATGGCGGTGGCAACATCATGATATAGGGATGCTTCTCTGCAGCAGGCCCCAGAAGGTTTGTAAAGGTAGATAGAGGTAGAGGGTGAAATGAATGCAGCAAAGTGTGGGGAAATCCTGGAGGACGACCTGATGCAAGAGAACTGCAGAAAAATTGGTTTTCTAGCGTAGCAATCACATGAAGCATGCAGCCAAAGCTACACAAATGGTTTAAAGACATCAAGGAGAATATTCTAGAGAGCCCAGACCTCCAGGGTTAATGCTTTTTAAAGGAACTGCATGGCACTAGTAAAATAAAAGCTACAATTCATTTTCAGTAGAAGCGAGCAATATGGGGATAATTATCGGTTAGATATGCTTTTTCTTTACTTGCTTCGAAAACCATTGAGCACTTGTAGCCGAAAGAAAAAGGCTGAAACTGAGACTGAATGTGAGCTTCCTGAGTTATTTAGTCTTTGTCTTTTTTGTTAGTAGGAATTAGGTGTGTAATTTTGTCAGCTAAACTGAATCTTGAATCTTTAATAAGAAACCTATATGTAAGGAAATTTGCACACAGCGATACAGTGATATTGATAAGCCAATCAATAACGCATTCACACAGTCTTCAGGTTTTTTTGTTGCCAGTTTGCCTTCCAGACTTTCACTGCAGACGGACTGACATGTACTGTCATTTGAGATTAACCCTGGAATCCCTAATTGTATACTTACAGATGTTATCAGAACCATCAAGGGATATGATGGGATTCGGTTGGTCTATGTTGGTCGATGCTAGAATTATGTACAGCTGATGATGTAGATGCCACCGTAAATTTAAAATCCAGAATACAGAGCATCTTTTGCCACAATGGCGTGTGTTTTAGGTTTAACAGGTTCACGTTCACGGCTTCTGGCTACAGGTTTGCATTTATAATGCAGCCTGCGGGACGACTGTGCAAGCAAACAGGCTTCCAGGAGGATCAAGTTTAATGGGGAGAAACCAAACAATGGGTTGACAACGAACTTGAAGCTGTAACAGAGTTCGTAGAAGGATGCCTCATGCGATGTCAGCAGAGATACGACTGGATCGTTAGTGGCAAATCTTGGGTCATTGTTCTGTAACAAACTCCTGACTTGATTAGATAACTTTATATTGGCATTATAGTCACATCGGGAAGCGTGGGTTCCAAGTTTGTGGGGTAGGGTTAGGTTTGGGACCATTTATGATCAAAGACTAGACCTACTTTTCAGTTGCCCAGGTTGGTGGTACTATAAGTAGAACACAGTCACATTTACCAGCCCGATACTGAACTCAGAATACGAATCAGAATGTTTGTCGTCGTCAGATCAGAGCAGTTGATCGTCAGTGAAGTAGAATTATAGACATGAGTCCAGCACATAAAGATCCTGATTACAGCCTGAACAAGGGTTCTAGTTCATCTCTTTTAAGAAATAAATAATTAATGACATCACTATTAATGGCGTCATTTAGATGTCATTAATTATAATAATGTAAATAGCCAATAAAGACTGTACTCTTCAAATAAGCCTGACTGTATACATATCCTGTTTGCCTTGCAAATAATGTAAAGCTAAACTCAACAATAGCTCAGCTATGTCAACTAACACTGAAACTCTTGTAACAAGTCAGTCACAAATTAAATGTTAGCTAACGGAAGCACTAGTTAATCCTATGTGTTTTAATAGAAGGTACCTGGGCTTCTTTTTATTGTTTTTGAAAATGTCTCAGCTCTCATCCGAGAGGTTTGAGGAAGTCGAGGTGAAGCGTCTTCAGGTCTAGTTATCTTCTACCTGAAGCATCTAGGATCACCTCATACTGGATGACAAACCACACACATGACAGTACCAATAGAGGCTGTCACTTGCTGGACACATAAATGGTGGCTAGAATTCTCTGTGACAGTTTGACTTGGTATTTTCATTATCTGGTTTGTGCTGTTTCAGCTGTGCTGTTTATACCTACTGTATAAACACGATTACATACTGATGGATGGCACTCAATCCCTCTGGAAATTCTTTTATGTTTAACAGCAGCATTGAAGTGCATCTAACCATCATTTTATCTGAAGAAGGTGTAGTTTTAAGATTTTTCTTCTTGTCCATAAATGCCACCGAGTTATAAAGACAAAACTAAAAAAAAATAGGTTTCAAATATGAGGTGTTCATGGATTCCCCACATTGAACAGTGGCACAAAGACACAGTTCATTACCCCTACATCCAGTGTCATGTTGGGCTTGGAATTTGTCTGAATAATGAAACAGGCAGCACATAAACGCATCATACGCTGATCAGTCACAAGATTAGATTAGATTCAACATCAGGTTCTTCAGGACAACCATGAGTTCTGTCATCTATGTAGATGCTACTTTCTCATGTACCTCCTTCCTAAACATCGTCTCAATCACACCCGCCCATGGCAAAATTTTAAAAATCCCCCCCAGCAGGACAATGCATTCTGCCACATTGCAAAAACTGCTCATGAACTGCTCGAGGAACTTGACCAAGAGCCAAGGCCGTTGATCTGGCCTTCAGATTCCCCAAGTTTAAACCCAGCTGAGCAGTCGTGCCACACACTGGAACAAGTCCGATCTATAGAGGCCCAACCCCATAACCCACAGGACCCACAGGATCCGTGTAGGTCCTTTGTCAATGCTTTGAAGGATCAGAGCTGTTTTGATGTTGTGGCTCATCAGGATATTTCCAATAGTGTGCAAAGTTGTCTTTCAGAAAAAAAGCAGTGGCTACCTGAAATACAACACTTATTATAATAATTATATATATTTTTTGTATGTGTTGTGTTGTGTTTGACACTTTATTTGTCACAGCAAAATGTCAAATAAACCAAATGCATGTACTCTGTTTAACCAGCAGAGAAAAAGCTCTGCTGTTTCCAGCTTTAAAAGATGTTATCTGAAACTCTATCACTTGGATGGACTGTGACAACCTGAATGGTGAGTTGTTTTGCTGGAGGCTTCGAAGCTGTTTGTAGTACAGCATGTGACAGGCGCAGATATATGGTTGGGAAATTGAACGAGTGCTTCTTTAAAAGTAAATACGTTTATTGTTGGTTTTATAACAGTAGGCGGGGAAAGGCCTCGTCTGAACTAACAAAATCTGCAAGTTATGCAGCGGATCTGTTGAACTTGTGTGAGCGCCTACCACCCGACTGACCTACAGCTCGGCCGGCTGGGAATCCTGATAACACTTTGACACATTTAGAAGCATCTGAGATTCCCGGGGTTGAACTATATGGAGGAAAACAGAAGAAATGGTAAGAAGAAAAAAAAGCGTGATATTTAACATGATGTACTAATGAATGTGGCTATTTGTACTATTTCAGAAACAGAAATACTTTATTGATCCTTGAGGGGAAATCGCTTTTAGTTGGAGATGCTCCCAATCAAAAGTCTTAAAGAAGTAAAGATATATAATAAAATCAAAAATACTGAAATAAAATAAAGAATAAAAATATAACACATTCCTGCTGTTCTAAGTGTATATACAGTGTAATAGTAATAGTACTACTATTTGTGTTATTGCACATAGAATGGTAATTGCACAATACTCAACAGGCCAAAGTCCAGGGTTTTTTTCACTCAGAGTCTGACGCTCAGAGTGAAGAGTTGTACAGTCTGATGGCCACAGGCAGGAATCTGTGGCGCTCTGGGGGGCATCTTGGTGCAATAAGGCTTGTACTGAAACTACTCCTGTAGCTGACCAGCACATCACGGAGTGGGTTCGACACATTGTCCAACATGACACGCAGCTTGGACGGCATCCTCCTCTCCGACACCTCCGTCAGAGAGTCCAGCTTCACTCCCACAACATCACCGGCCTCTGTTGGTGTCAGCTGCCCTATTTGAATGGCATAACTTAGACAAATAAACATATTCATCTGTACACGGTTAAACTGACAGACTTTTTTTTCCCATCCCTCGCAGCTTCGGTGACGACAAACGGATCAGTTTCGCGCATTTTATCCCTCGACAGTAATAACGTTGAAATTTTAGAGGATGGAAAAACCATCAATGATGTCATAGACGGCAAGATTAAAGAGCTAAGCGCCGTGGTGAGTGTTAACCTGCTCATGTTAAACTGTTACTGCTTGAAAATGTGACATTGTCGAGATAAAACTCGTGTGATTCTACCTTCTTCATTCAGGACAATGAGGAGCCGTTCTACGTGCTGAGTCTTGACAGCATGTTGAAGAGGCACCTCAGGTGGCTCACCAACTTGCCTCGAGTCAAGCCTTTCTATGCCATGAAGTGCAACAACACTCCGACGGTTGTCAGGATGCTGATGGCTCTGGGAACTGGGTTTGACTGTGCCAGCAAGGTACTGATGCAGGAATTTAAAGTGTTTCTTCCTCTTTTTATTTTCCAAGTTGTTTCATTTTCACTCTGCTCCAACACAGGCTGAGATCCAGCTGGCCCTGTCTCTCGGAGTGACGCCCGACAAGATCATTTACGCGCACACCACCAAACCGATGTCCCACATCAGATACGCCTGCAATCACAGAGTAGACGTGATGACTTTTGATAGCGAGGGCGAGCTGCTGAAAATCTCTCTGTGCCACCCCCAAGCCAAGTGAGTGAACAACTTTCTGCTTGACTTCTTACAAGAGCATTTGATTAACAGCGTGTTTGCTGTCCAGGTTGGTTCTACGCATCGCAGTGGACGACTCCAAATCGCTGGTGAGACTCAGCTCCAAGTTCGGCGCCAGGATGTCCTCCGTCGGGAAGCTGCTGGAACAGGCTGGAGAGCTGGGCCTGGAGGTCATCGGGGTCAGCTTCCACGTGGGCAGCGGGTGCACCGGGAGCTTGGCCTACAAGCAGGCCATAGCAGACGCCCGATATGTCTTCGACGTGGCCGTAAGTGATCGAGATGGAAACAGAACACGATGTAGTCAAAGCTGATGTTCTGTACAGTCTACCATTTTTTTTTCCTATAGAAGATCTAAAACCGTGAGAGCCCAACAGACGCGAGGCGCATCAAAATTTACAACCCCATCGTCTTGGATTAAATATTTATTGCAGCAAGCTTTAGTGCATACCAAATACAACTGCACAACTTGACCTTTCCAGCAAAGCTAGTTGCTTGGCAGCGAGTAAAAATAATCTCGAGTTTACGTCAGATGTACTCGTAGTTGCTGCTCCTACGTTACTCCTGTTTGAATTACTCATCGCAAAGATATGTTGTTTAATTCTAGACATTTGCCTTGTCATCTATGATTAGGCTCCTGTATGTGGACATTTCAGTGAGTTAAAAAGTGAGATTCGTGTCTGTTAGGCAGTAAGCGGCCGGTTTTTCGAATTTCTAACTTTTTAAAATTATTTTTATACTTGATTTAAAGGCTAATGTGGCTGAAAAGTAGTACGACTATCCTGAAAAACGCTTCTTCCTCTTACAGAGTTTGCTGGGATTCCAGATGAGACTCCTGGACATCGGCGGTGGATTCTCTGGGATCGGCGACTTCCAAGAAAAATTTGAAGAGGTCTACTTTCAAAACAAATATTGTACAAAGACTAAAATTGGTTCTACAGCGCCTTCGAGGACAACAAATATTTATTTAGTCATTTATTGGTTTTCCCCTGTGGGCATTTAGACTTTAACTAAACTAACTAACAGGGACTTTTTTCTTAAGTGATACCAAATGTGGCACGTTTACTTAAAAAAAAAAAACCTCAAATGGGTTTTTATTGTGCTTCATTTCTGTTCCTGAATTACAGCGGGGAACCTTTACAACAGCAGCATCAGCGACTCTTTGTATGATGCTGTCGTTCTCTGATTTACAGTTTTGATTAAGCAAGAGTGAAAATGCACATTTGTTGCTGCAGTTCTTTGACGTTCACTCCGATCCGGTGATGATGCTGATTGGACTTATTCTGCTGTAAAATTTCTCAAGTGTGTCTAGAGCCTCAGGTGTGAAGCTGATTGAACTAGCCTGGAGGCTACGTGGTTAAACACTGCAAACACCGCGCTGTATACCTGGAAAATGACATTTAAGTTTGTTCCTTATTAGCACTGTCTGTTCTACATAGTATATACCTGTCCTTGCATTCACTCACTTGTCAAAACATGATTTCTTTATCATGATCTGTGACTTATTCACACCATTTTATTGACTTTAGCCTTTGTAGGGTTTAAGATGTCCTCAAGAAAGGCCTCAGCTGACCTCACAGCAACAGATGTTCATTTTCACTCCGAGCAATCATTTAATATGGAAATAGGACCATAAGTCAACAAGTTTGAGCCAGACTTTTATTGCTTCTTTAGGTAGTACATGCAGTAAATCTTATCTAGTCGTGGGGAGACTAGCGGAGCAGTGGAAATGTCTTCTTATCTACACAATAAAAATGGGTTTTCATCATACGGAGCCTTAGACGTCCTCGTCTGGAATATTCTGCACATCTAACACGCCATTTTCTGCGTTCTATTGAAGTCTTTTGCCACAATATGTACGCTTTCTGCATCAATTCAGGGTTAAAAATGTCTTTCTTTGATTTGTCTTTTTGCCGTTTATGCAAAAACAACAACCAAAAAACATCAAATTCGGTTACCAGGTGGCAACTTATACTATAAAGGAATTTAATAGAGTCAGGCTTTCAGGCATTTTGCACTGATTTCAAGCATTTATTTTCCTGGAGATCAACTTTTTAAATGTTCTCTGATGATTCCAACACGTAGTTTACTGGCATCATTTACTTTTCGGTTCTATTTTGTGTCTCTTGCTTTGGAGGAGTCGCCTCTTGATATTTGAATAATTCACCTTTTCACGTCGATAAGCTTAATTATTAGTTTGTTTTTTGTTTATGTATTTATTTTAGTCGATCTATGAACATCTGGATGCACCCCCAGTGTCCCGGTCTGAAATCTACACCAATGACTGTCATCGTAGAAATATTTAGGAAAATGTAGCCATGTGGACAATATAGAACTGTTTTATAGGAGCAGAGATACTGGTCACTGTGCACAAAAAAATCTAAAACATTTATTAGAAGTGCAACACATATTATTCAAATATGCAGTTAACCTGTTGCGTGTTTTGCCCTTCTAGTTTTCCGAAGTCATTAATGCAGCGCTGGATAAATACTTCCCTCCTGGCAGCGGGGTGGAGGTCATCGCAGAGCCAGGCCGATACTACGTGGAATCGGCCTTCACGCTGGCGGTGAACGTCGTGGCCAAGAGAGTTGTGGCCGATGAAGTGGACGAACAAAACAGTAAATGCGAAGACATGAGAGCTGTTGATCCAGTCGTCACATAGACTACAGACACCTTAACTAGTTTTTTTCATGTGATGGAGGACTATAGACACAAATTTTTCTATCGTTTTGACTTTACATATTCGACTGATCTAATTGTACTTATTTTGCGTGTCTGTTTTCCAGATGCTGAGAGAAACAGCCCAGACAAAGCCATGATGTACTACATCAATGATGGAGTCTACGGCTCGATGAGCTGCATCACCTTCGATCCTGCTCACAGCAAGCTGGAGCCGTACCTTCACAGGGTGAGCATCAGCTCCGTCACCGCATTAGAATGTCATTATGGACAGTTATCAGTTGTTTATTACATCGAATTCCAGCGATCTAAATTTCATGTGTTTCAGCAAGAAAGACTGTGGTTTTGGCAAATATAGAGATAATTTATGCTTCTGGTGGCAACTAACATGCTTTGTTGTCGATGGCACACAATAGAACAGCAAACTTTAACTGCAGATCTGTGACAAAACAATGTATTACAAAAGTATATATTTAAGGGCTGCAAGGTGGAGCAGTGGTTAGCACCATTGCCTCACAGCAAGTAGGGCGCCGGTTCGCGTCCCGGTGAGGACACCCAGGATCTTTCTGTGTGGAGTCTCCATGTTCTCCCCGTGCAGCGTGGGTTCTCTCTGGGTTCTCCAGCTTCCTCCCACAGTCCAAAAACATGTCTGGACACGAGTCAGCTGTTATAGACTCCAGCCCCCCATGACCCTAGTGAGGATTAAGCGGTGCATAGATAATAGATGGATGGATAATATATTTACTTCTTGCATTGGGGCTTAATGTTGGCTTTGGTAGTTAATCTTAAGAGGAATTGCTCGATATTGGAATATGAAATAATGAATCACAGACTGCTGCTTGCAAACAGTAAACCAGGGATCTCCAACTCTGGTCCTCCTGAGCTACTGTTCTGCAGGTTTTAGATGTTTCTGTACTGCAACACACCTGACTCACATGAATGGATCTCCAACAGCTTGTTGTCAAGTTCTACACAAGTCTGTTGGAGATCCCTGCAGTAAAGTAACTGATCAGATCAATTTAATTTACTGACACATCTTAGTTTTCCATTATTTGGCCCATGAGATTAAAAAACCCTTCATGCCCAGAATGGGATTTGAATGTATAGATCATTGGGAAACATGACAATCAGTTTGATGTGGATGTTTTTATATTTGTCGTCTCTGCAGGCTGTCGACAGCAGCGAGCCCACGTACCCGTCCGTTATCTGGGGTCCGACCTGCGACAGCATCGACAAAGTCACTGAGAACTACTGGATGCCTGAGCTGCATGTGGGGGAATGGCTTCTCATCGACAACATGGGCGCCTACTCCGTCAGCGTGTCCACTGACTTCAACAGCTTCGAACGAGCGCGCATTTACCCCGTCGTGACGGCTAAAACATGGCAGGCCCTAAACCTGTCCCGCACCTACAGCATCATCCACTGACACCCGCCTGATAGTCAGACATTTAACTTCTTTCTTGGGCTGGTTGGTTACCTTCTGCAACTCATTCACTGAAGAATTACATTAGTCATGACAGTTTGTAGGATACACAAAGGAAAACAAAAAGTAGTCGAATTTTGGGCAAAATCTATTTAATACCTACATTTAGCAGGAGTCCAGCTGACACTGGAGAGTCTAACTATTGGTCCTTTAAAATCAGTGGAAACAGACTCAGATAATCTGTCATTTCTATTCACTCACACCGCCTTACAGTAAATGTGGATTATTTTTAAAGACATATATTTAACTCTGTTCTCCTCAGGTTTTGTTTGTTTGTTTGTTTGTTTGTTTGTTTGTTTAAATCTCATAGCTTAGACATGAAGCAATACGGAGTTTCAGGGATGCTGTAATTATATCGCCTGCTTAAAGAGAATTAATCGAATTTGTTGGATTTCTCTCTATAATATGATGTTGTATGGGAGGTGACCTGAGATGCTATTAATTGGTATTTCATAAATAAAACAAAACTGATTTAAATTGAATTGAATTAACCTGAAAAAGCCTTGAAGACATCAAAGCTACTGAATGATGGAATTATGTGGTTAAACAAGATGTAAACAAAATAGAAACATTAAATTCTTGAAGCAACCATTGTTTGACTTAATGGTGGTTTTTCATTGTTGGAAATATCTTCACCAGATTGACTTCCCAGCTTTCTTAATGCATTTGAGATCATCAGTTGTGTTGTACTGAGGTGGTTAGCATCGTTACCTCGCAGGAAGAAGGTGTTCCTGCGTGGAGTCTCCATGTTCTCCCCATGCAGCGTGGGTTCTCTCCGGGTTCTCCGGCTTCCTCCCACAGTCCAAAAACATGTTGAGGTTAATTGGTGATTCTAAATTGTCCGTAGGTGTGAATGTGAGTGTGCTTGGTTGTCTGTCTCTAAGTGTAGCCCTGTGATAGACTGGTGACCTGTCCAGGTGAACCTGCCTTCACCCTGAGTCAGCTGGGATAGACTCCAGCAACCCCAGTAAGGATTAAGCGGTGTATAGATGATGGATGGATACTAATAAAATAGTTTTTCAGGGCATGACAATAGCTCAACTGGGTCATGACCCTTTGCTGCAGGTTCTTCTCCCCCCACTTTCCTGTCTCTCTCTGTCTGTCCTGTCTAATAAAGCCAAAAAAGGCCAAAAGATATCTTTTAAATATAACAGTTTTTCAAAAATCGCAGAGCACAGACTGATGAAAACTATTCCCCACGAAACAAGTTTTAGCAAACCAACACTTTGCTTTACTTTCCAAAGAGTTTAGTCGTGTTTTGGAGAAGCTAAAGGTCAACTGGTGTGAATGAGTTTTATTACAAAGTGTCTCCTTAAAAATAGAGCTGGAGGAGTATTGTTGGGCACTGAAGGAGCAGCAGCGATGCGCCCACACAGCCGGCCAAGCTGCCTCCTCCACAGGCTCAAGCGCGACTCAATCTCAAAGTCGTGCAAAATGGCACAACGAGCCACGAACTTCACTGCACAAAAGCAGGGTGCATTTACACAGCCTTGAAAAATATTCATGGATTGGTTTTTATGATGCCAAATGTCCTTTCTATCACCGAATGGAGAGGTTTTAAATAAAAATAAAACACAAAACTCAGGCACCAGGTGACAGTTCCTTCAGGGAGAGACGGGAACATGAGTGTGTTCAGTGCACACTAATGAGCTGGTTGGTCAAGCTGTGAATAAAACAGCAGAAGTGATAACACAGCATCACCAAATTAAATTTGTGTTTGAGCATAAAGTCACACAACCTGTAATCTGTTTGCTCTACGGAATGTGAAAAGAAATAGTGCCATTTCAAAGTTTACCCAGGAGGGGGTGCAGTCTGACACTGTGACTGTTCACAGTCAGGATTCAGAAGTGTTGCCTTTATATATTATAGATGCAAATTTAAAGGCCAAGCATCATCTTCCTCTTTTCACTTACAGGTTGACGACATCTTGCGATATCTAAACACTGACGCTGTAAAATTCCATAATTTTTTCCACACATGTAGTCGGAATAGTTCTTCTTTGTCATACAGTGAATCATCCATTACAAGAAATCTTAAGAAATGTTTTTACAGCATGTCAGATATTTTTGAAATGTAGCTATTTGAAGCTACAAATGGGAGACTTTTACTTTGAAACGTCTATTAAATTAGAATTGTACAACTGCACAGTGAGTTTGAATGTAGTCTGAGTTGTCCTGAACTCAAATGTATCAGCTATTGACATTTATTACTGTCATTACTGCTTTTGTTTTTCATATCTTTTTAAATGTAGCTAATTGAATGCACACATGTGGGAGTTTTATTTTGGAAGTTCTCTAAATTGATGACTAAATAATTATTTATTTTTTAATCTGGATGTAATTAGAGTTATACTTAACTAAAATCTACTATTGTTTCTCAGAAATTATGGAGTATTTATATATTTGTAGCCCCTCGAATATTTTGATATGTAGCTATTTGAAACATAGGGCTTTTACTTTGGAATTGGGAAAGAAATAGGGATTTATAAAATGTATTTATTTATTTTACACACTTGAAAGGAAAGTATTTCGAGGTACTAATGTGGGGTTTTAAATATGATACTTATTTACAGTGATACAGTAGAGATGCTTATTATTATTTTATTTAAATATCAATTTTAAATGTATCAAATGTCGTTGTCAAGATTTTTTTTTATATTCTTCCAAAAATCCCGAATCAAGAATGAAATAATTTCCCCTAGCTGTTAGTGTGATTTTTTTATTTTTATTTATTTATTTTTTTAATGTATACGAGACACGTGATCATCTTATTTCGAAATATATTTTATTTAGACATTCGCTTTATTTTGAAAAACAAACGTAATCACGTGTGTATCCTCGCGTTACCTTGGCCAAATCACGGCGCAATCTGATAAAGTATACAAATGTGTGCGGGTCGGAGGTTGTAAAATAAATAAATAAATAAATAAAACCCCCCCCGGTGTGTGTTCCGGGAGGCTCCAGCTCACACGCCGCCGCCATTCCTCCGGTGAGACGAGCGATAAGAAGGCGGAAGAAACGGCGGAATAAAAGTGAAGAACCGTGAACGGCGGCGGCTCCGCTTTACCGTAAATCTCAGAATACGTGCGCGACGTAAATTGAGGAGGAGGAGGAGGAGGAGGTAGGGTGTAGGGGGGGTGGAGGCGGCCGGTTGGACCGCGGAGATGCGACTGACGGCTGCTTTGACCGCAGTCGTCGACCGGAGGAGTCTCGTGCCGCCGGAGCTCGTCACGCGCCAGCTCGAGCTCACCGGAGGGATAACGGAGGCGACATCCGCGGAGGGACTGATAGCCGGTGATGCACGAGAGAGGAAGGGGAGGGCGGCGGTGGGATCGGGAAGAGTGGGGAAACCGCCTCACGCACGGAGTCCGGCTCGTACCGGGGATTTACGGAGGAGGACACACCGAAGGGCTGGATTTTAACCCGACCGTGACCGACCTATTATCTGCCGGTCTGACGCCGCTCGTGTCGCCGGTGAATTGAGGGGAAAAAAAACGACGCTCGAGGTAAAATTTACCGCATCTCGCGTGTTTGTGTGTTTCTGCGCGTGTTTGTTAGCGAGGGAGGGGGATATTGTAGTAAGGTGGTTTGTGTATTTTGTATTTTTTATGTGTGTGTGTGTGTGTGTGTGTGTGTGTGTGTGTGTGTGTGTGTGTGTGGAGCCACACATCTCCAGCCAGCCCAGCCAAAATAACAAAGAAATCAATAACATATATATATAATAATAATATTCCCATCATCCATCATCATGATCCAGACTTTAAACCTATCATTGTTATTATTATTATTGATATTATTTGTGCTTGTTGTTGTTTTTTTCTTCATTATATGGTAATTAGTGTCATCTTATAATAACTTATACTGAACTATTGTGCCATAAGAATTAAAATAATCACTTTAAAATCATCACTGAATGCCACACCAGCGCGTTCCCATTCTGCCTGGATGATTTTACATTATTTTGACCATTTCCCACCAGGACATTGTGGTTCCACTGGGAAAAAAGTAGAAAAATACAGTGAAGGAAAGGCAGCGTGGTTGCAGACTGGACAAGATAACCCCTCAGCCGTATGATTTTTTTTACTTTTCCCGCCCTTCTCCATCCCCATGTTTTTACATTTTCAGATTTCCTTGCTTGGCTCCGCTCCGGACGTCAGTTAAGAGCCAGCTGGTGGTTTACAGTTGTTTTGGCAGGAAACAGAAATCCTTTGTGTGGAAATGACTGGATTATCTCTGTCGCTATGTACATACTAATCTATATCTTTCTGCTGGCTTTGAGCGTTGGTGTGTGTTGTGTGCACTGGTTGCATCTATCTGTGTGACTATAAGCCGTTTTTTCCCGCTGCTGGAACTTTGTTTTTTAGTGCGAGATGAAGCTTTTGTGCATGTTCTGACTGCAGTAACCCCCCTGTGGAACATCTTTTAGGGGTATTTTGGGGATGAGATAAAAGCACCTACTCCAACGTAGCGGCCCTGAAAACTGCCGCGCAGGTCGGGTTGCTGTTAGGTAAAATTTATCTTGACGTCCTTGTCAAATAGCTCCCAAACATCACCATCAACAACGTAAAATTCACCAAACCCTCCATCCATCTACTATTTGTCGTCGTTGTGGCGCGCTCAGTTCCTAAGTTCCTGTCGTCACCTCATGAACCTAACTAGCTAATGATAAACTAGTTATCTATGTGTCTAAGATAATCAGTCTTGCTAGCTAAATAGCTAGCTAGTTATCTTTATATCAGTACTTAAACACCACAACATTAAAACCAGATTTTGTGTGGTTCCCCTCACGTGCCGCCGAATCTCTCGATCAGCCTTGAGCTCTTTGTCGTGTTCCTCGAGCCGCTCCTGAGCAATTTGTTGCACATCGCCATCAACGATGTAAAATTCACCAAACAGGCTAACACAACTAACCCTCCATTGTTACACCAGCTACTATTTGTCGTCGTTGTGGCGCACTCAGTTCCTAAGCTCCTGTAGTCACCTCATGAAGCTAGCTAGCTAATAAATAGATAAACTAGTTGTCTATGTGTCAAGGACAATCAATCTGCTAGCTAAATAGCTAGCTAGTTATCTTTATATCAGCACATACGCACCGCAACATTAAAACCAGATATTGTGTGGTTCCCCCCACTCTCTTGATCAGCCTCAAGCTCTTTGTCGTGTTCCTCGAGCCGCTCCTGAGCAGTTTTTTGGTAGAGTTCATTGTCCCAGTGATGCAGAGCTCATTGGTGGCAACAATTTATCAGTTTGAGTCATTTTGAAAGAAAGAAAAATCTAAATATTCCGACTGCAGCTTCTGAAATGTGAATCTTTTCTGGTTTTGTTCCTCTTGTATGACAGATTACTGAATATCTTTGGGTTGTGGACAAAATACGACACTTGAAGACGTCATCTTTGGCTTTGGGAAACACAGATTGAGATTTTTTTTTACCATTTTCTGCCATTTTATAGACCAAACAACTGGTCAATCATTTGAGAAAACCATTAAATACACCATAAAAATAATCATTAGGTGCATCCCAAATATATCTCCAAGACATCTATCTATCTATCTATCTATCTATCTATCTATCTATCTATCTATCTATCTATCTATCTATCTATCTATCTATCTAGTTGTCTTTGTCTTTTTTTTTCTCCTCCCAGTCTCTCTCTGGCTTCTTTTCCTAGACAGTGGCAGTGCAGATGGGTGTAATCCCATGTTAATCTGCCTAACCCTGTACTCCGTAGTCTGGCTTTAACAGCGCTCTGATTAAATGCCCCCCCACCATGTAAGTCATTAGTTTAATTAGATCACAGCATCGCTAGTGCTAATTAAAACAAATACCAAACAGAAGTGCCACAACAATGCGACGCCATCGTGATTTTATTCTCATTTTTAAATACTCTTCACAGTATAAATTCTGACAGTTGTTTCTTCACCCGTCGCATCAAATGAATGCATTTCTACCAAACCAACGATTCATTCCCATCTTGAGCCCAGAATGCTAAAGATATGTGATATTTGTGTGATGCTTTGTAGACAGTAATGTAGAGGGTTAGTGTGCAGAGCCTGTGTGTGTGAGCACACTCCATCATTCCGGCCTCCTGTGGGAAGAAACTGTCTCGGAAATGGGCAGCGTGTGATTTAATGCCCCAGTATCATTTTCCATAAAGTGAGTGTGGACCACTTGACTGGTGTCCTTGATGATCTTTTGAGCTTTCCTTATTGCAGCGGATAATGCATCTACCATGGAGCTGGGTGTGCCAGTATTTTTAGTTTAATCCGTCCTGCAGCATCTCAGTTGCTACGAGGTAGGGCATGGTGATACGGCCAAAATTGCGATTTAAATGAGAAAATTTGCGATATGACGATATAACTGACGGTATAATTGGCAAAATACTTAAAAACTGCACAACTTTATTGGTGCAAATAAAAAAGTGGGCTTACAAATCCTGAGCATAACAATGTATAGTATCCACAAAAGCAGAGTAGAGTTGGGGGGTGGTGATGTTGGTGTTGGTGGTGTTGGTGGTGGTGGTGTTGGTGGTGTATAGCGGCGGGTGAATATTCGAACCGACGGGGTGGAAGTGGGCGGACACACAGGCAGTACTTGGCTGCAATTTGGGATAGTGGTCACAGTTCTGTTCCCACCATTGGGTAGTGGCGGCAGCAGCAGTGGGATGGTAGCGCTGGGCGGTGGGCAAATATTTGGATGGTCCAGCCCGACTGTGTCGGTCGACGCACTGCATTCACCGTCCTCCTCGGTCGCCGCCATGCTTTGCTTCTCGCTCCATGTGCATAAGTAGTGTTCTAAGTAGTCCATCTAGTCTGTTTTATATCCCGCATAATTTTCCCTTAAAGAAAAATGGGTCTGGGTTCTTATGGGTTAATTGGGCCTGAATATCCAGAGAGCAGAAAGTGCTATTGGGACCAGCCCTACTAGTTATTATAACAACTATAAACAATAAATATGAACAACAAATGAGCCTTCCAGCATCAAGCCCTCCTTGTATCTGGACCTCCGTCTTGACAATCCGACAGCCTTGCTCTCTGAAGGTTTTACATTTAGTGTCGGATTATCGAGTCACGACTGTACTACAGCATTTAGCATATCACTGAATCAGGAATACTGTATCTTAATGGTAAAGTTGAGCAAAATAATGATAAAAAATACATTTTTTTTTGTACTGTAAAATCCAAACTAAACCTCTTTCACTTTGTTGTTTTTTGACCCCCTTAGATAAAAGCTAGCCGGGCCTCCAGAGCCAGACAGTTCTGGCTCAGTAGTTCTAAATTAAGGTAGATTAGGGCAATTATTTGTATTTTTTTTCCTTATGTGTCCACGCATTAGATGCTTCTGGGTGTTGAAGTCTTCTTATTCTGAACCGTTTCCCCCTTTGGAGCTGTTTGATTGAATCATCAATGTGAATCTGCCCTGTGTTAAATGACTACAAACAGTGGGGGGAGAAAAAAAAAAGTTTGCTGCATGCGGAAAGGGTAAGAGGTGAGCATATCAGTTAGGCCTTTGTTTGTTTATCTTCAGGAACTTGTTGTGAGGCCACACACACAACAACACAACACAACACACACTGCCTTCCTGTATGTGTTCAAGCGGAGGGAGTCCAGAGCGATTGCAGGAAGTCAGGATTGGCTTCTCTGGGGAAGAGCGATAAGAGTCTCATACAGTGTGAGTGTGGATTCAGCTGAAGACGACGAGGCCATCTGCACTCAGCTACCGCTAATAACAAACACACCTACAGACACACAACCGGGCCTCGTCAAACAAACCCCTGTGTGTGTGTGTGTGTGCTCTGGGTTTAGTGTGTTTGAAGGTGTGTTTGTGTGAATGTCGCTGGTGATTTCCTCCGCTTACAGCATGCCGCCACTCTTTGGGTGGTTGGTTGAAAAGGGAAATCCCTCTGAAGTGTTGAGGAAGAGAGAAGGGGGGCGATTAGTCTGCGCAACAACTCAGCTTGACCCAAAAGGGGAGCCGGGGTAAACAACATCTCCCAGCGTGCCTCGGATCAGGATCCACATGAAGCTGGTGGAGAAAACACATGCGGATAAATAGAGTTTATCTGGGAACAGGTAAAACAGGCAGCGCTGTTTGAATAATATTTGCATGCTGTTTGAACCCTGAGCTGCAGTCGCCCTTCATTTGCATCCTCAAACAATGTGCCTGCTGAAGTTAGCGCGGCCGGTTAAAGCTGCGACGGCTGTGACAGGAAGAATCTTCAGCCGGTGAGGCTGCGAGCTAAACGCTTACATCCTCTTTATTATAATCCTAATATGCTGATGATTAGCACGCATATTGTTCAGGTTGTAGTGTGCAAAACGTTTATGAACACAAAGTACGGCTAAAGCTTGTTGTGTTTTATCCAATTATGGTACTGAAAGAATCATTCCAGTTCATCCGATGGTTGTTGAGGTAGTTCCAGTGATGCACGATATTAAAATGTCTGGCCGATATCGATATCCAATATTAAGATTTCTGATATCGCCGATAACCGATATTACTGATGT